TAATTGCTAAGATATTTAAGCTTAAAGTCAAGAAAACTTTTACTTAGAAAAAATTTGTCTTTTTTCTATTGACTCCCCCCCATTTTTCAATTATAAATAAAAATTAATTTGTATAATAAAAAATCAAGATAAAGAAAAATTATATGAGGCTTTGTAGAGCCAACACATCACAAGATTATCCAATAGTTACTTGCTACCTTTAACCAATCAAAATTGTAAAATTTGATTAATCCCAAAAATCAAAACAAGTAATTAAACTTATATACTGTATAAAAAAGGGCTGCTTTAATGTATAACACTCTATATGTCAATTCACAAGTATTAATAAAGTTTGGGGCGGGTGCTACACCCGGAGATTCCCCTAAATATTAAAAAAAAAATACTTTTTAAAAAATTTAAACTTGTTTATTTCTGGGATAGCAACCCTTAAACAACCCCTATATTAGGGACGGTCCTATCCGTATATAGAATCTAAACACATGTTAAAGTAAAGTTTGAAACCGGTTTATTTTTCATACCGTATATCCGAATAGTAATAGAAGCTACCAAAATTTTGAGTTTTTCGGACTAAAAAGAGGGAGTAGCTTCTATTCGGGACCAATTTTATTATTAAAGCATAATAACTTCCTCCAAATTTTTAATACAAAATCGAGGGGGTAGCTTTTATTCGGGGGTAGCTTCTATTCGGTAATATACGGTATATTAAAACCGATTAAAACCGGGTTAACATATGAAAAAAAAAAATACTCGTTTAAATCGACGTTGATGCACAATGACGGGAACATATAACTGTATAATAAGCATCGATCTATTGCTATACCCTCTAATTCCTAACGTCCAACCCTAAACTTCTATCTTTAGGCACTTAGTTAATTTACAAAATTCGATTTTCTTTTTTGTTACTCGCGCAAAGTAAAATCCATAAAGCGGCATGCTTTTGCTTCAAACCCAGTTGAATATTGTACAACAAATCGGATTGGGCTTCTTGTAACTCTAGATTGATGAGATCTTGATAATTTTGTGACATCTGATGTGAAATTGGTTGGTGCAAAGATTTTTAACACATTTCGATAGATCTTTTAGGGTTAGATTAATAAAAGGGTATGTATATATTTATAAATTTAAATGGTACGTATCACCAAATTTCAGCATAAGCCGCCACAATTTTGAATCCACGCACCAGAGAAGAAATTGGTTATGTGTCTTTTTATCGATATTGTTAACAATTATGGCGTTAATGAAAGATTGGGAACGGAGAATAATTCAGAAACATGATAACGAATAAATTTACCCGATTAAGATTAAATCTTAAAAAGGCAAAAACCCTTTCAGAGTATCAAACCCTTTCTGAACTAAATTTAAGTGATAGTAAAAATAACAAGAATTAAGCTTGTTGGCTTTCTAGTAGATGGCGTATGTACAAATAGATGATCCTGAATTATATCCAGACCTTGGTTCTAATCGTAATTGTATCGGTATACGTAGTACGGAAATGTACTGACTATTAAATATATGCCATGTGATAGCTAAATAGCGATAGCGATCGATTAAAATGATAATGTAGTCTGGTAAGTATGGTCAAAAGGCCTACTAAAATGAGTCTAGTTACATGAATGTGACTTGTATGGTATAACGATTTCAAATATACACAGCAGACCAGACCGGTAAAACCAATTCTTTAAGGTTAGCGTTAAGAAAAAAACCCGATTTTCTCGTTACAGTCAACTCCAGCATGATAGAACCCCTACGTGAAATGACAAAAAAATCAGCATAAAGAGAATAAAAAATACATCTAATTCATATTTACTTGGGACCAAAGTGAGTTTGAATTTAGAGGACTTAACCAGTTGAGTGATTTGTGTAATACAGTAATAACTACCAAACAGATCCAGGGTTTGTCAAAGGAGGATCTACCATAATTGGGGCCGTTCATGCGAATAATTCGGCGAATTCGGCAAATTACGGATTTATTTAGAAATTATTTATATAACAGTATAACAGATAAATGTCATGTACGTACACACATACAGTACTTAATTAACCGCTATTAAATGCGGTTAACTGGTTAGGCCAATAAAATCTTAATATCGCGTATGATGTTGTGTATCAAAAATTAAAATTAGGAACTGAATAGACGCCAAGTGAATTAATAAACATATATACTATATAGCAGATAATCAAACCCCAAGTGTTAATGAGGCTTAAACAATCCTATTTTATTTTATTTTGTTTTTTAGATATTGTGTATTTCGTTAACTTTCTCGGGAAAAGTAAAGCATGATTTCTTCCGCAACAGCTGAGCCTGTCGAGATCAACAAAGCACCAAGTAATAACGTTCCTGATACACATAGTAGAATTAGCAATATAAACCGACTTGCTTCCCCTCCACAGGGACAAAATATTCAATTATCAAAATCTCAACCTAGCATTCAAAATAAGCTTGGTTCTTCACCTAATACTAAGCTTCATTTGAACGCCTCTGGTGGTTTCGGAAG